TGCAGATTAGCCTACCAAATAGATTTTACATGCATTAATGGCTTCCTTATATCTTATAAAGGATGCCTCAGGTTTATCTGATATTTATATTTTATTTCTATTAAAAAGTTTGCAGTTTGTATATAAAACATATGATTAAAAGAAAATTCTCTTTGGTTTTTAAATACACAATTTATAGTTTTTTTAGGCAAATTGTACAGTTTTTGTGGGTATAGGATTTGAAGTAAGAAATAGCAAAATGCTCAAAACTGGTCAGGCCTCTAGTAGGGATGAAATGCAAAGGCCTGACAGTCAAAATTCAAGACCTTGCAAATCAAAGAGTTAAATTATGAAGGAGATTCAAATGTTTAACTATGATTGCCTTAATCATAGGTCTCTGAGTAGTTTGGGGAAAATTAATAGTGAAAGTGGATTTTGACTTTACTCCCATATGCATTACATTGCCTGGAAAATGGAATACCTCCAAGTACCTGAATATACAGGATGCCTAAGTCCATCTTATTAAACTAAATTAACTGAAATAAACTAGTCAAGATTCAATAAAGCAAAGTAAAAAAAAAAAAAGCCAATTTAAAAAATACAGTACAAAAAAAAAATACCAGTGAATGTCTGAAGCTAGATGGAACCTGTGACAATCCCCCCCCTGCCCCCTACTCATGTGAGTTTGCCACAAACTCCTGCAGGAGCCTGCTTGCCAGCCTTCTGCCTGCAGACTATGAGCCCTAGCAGGGAAACCTGTAAAAGACGGTTTAAATGGCTTGATTCGTGTAATTTCCCTATACTGTTCGGGAACCTAACAACCACACGAACCAGGAGTTTGTTAACCTCTATTAACACCTTGGAACGGTTCTCACCTCAATGGCCGCAATTCAGAAGAATGACCACGAGGTGGTGGCCATCTTGTTCGCATGAATGCAGGCAGTGGTGTTTGGTCTTCGAGATCATGGAACTAAAATCGTACACGGAAACTCCTGAACACCGCTGGACTTCCATCATCATCTGCGTTCAGTTCTATACAACTTAGAAGTGCACTGTTCGGTGGAATCGTTCGTCTGGATGAGGTTAACAAGCTCCACAGTTCAAATATAGACTACCATTGAACTTTTTAGCCATTTGGCAGGACTCACAAATATAGTATATAGCTGTATATTTTGTGTTTTCGATTATTTTTTAAAATAATGAAGTTTTACTATCTTTTTTATATACAATAAAAGTACTTTTTTATTAAGATCCACATTGGATTCTGGACCTCATTCCAATTTGAACAATCAACAGCTCATGTGGAAGTAGGAGTGGGACATCCTTTTGAATAGTCCCAAGGCGATATTCATGGGAGCCATATGAGATTTGGCTCCAGGCTTGTGAGTACCAGACTTCACTTCCTCAATATTCTATTTTACCAGACAATATTACACTATTACGTGCTTTGTTTATCTCTTTCAGACGTATTTTAAGTGTGACCTACCCTCTACATTGTATGTATTTGCAAATATAGACTACGTTTGGTTAATTCTTTAGTTTTACCAAAGTTGACCGACCGCTAGCACTGATCTCATGAAACTGTTTTGGGCCTTGGACAGTGTGCGTGTTGGCCAAATAATTGACTTCCATGGAAATGTGAACCCTTGAACCGATATAGGTGATTTTTGGATATGTTGGTCATCCAGATCGGGGGTATCGGGATGTAACTTTTGTGGAGTTTTCATGTATTTTATGTGTATTTTGGGGTGTTTAATAAATTGTGTGTCTTTCTGTATCTGGACATAATTGAGTTTGTACAGTTCCTGACTCAATTATCTCCCAGGCACAGGGGAGGTGCCATGGGCATGTGTGGTGGTGTCATGGGCATGTTTGACTGTGTCCATAAATGTATAAAAGCAGGCCATCTGGCCACATGTCATCTGATTACTGGGAGGGGAAAGGGCTAATCACTACTCCAGCTTGTTCCAGTGTGGAGGATTCAATGGGGAAAGTCCTTGTAAGGACTAAAGCTCCCAGGACTGAGTGTCGTTCAGTGCCTAGGAGTGGTTCCAGGACCTCAGTCAAGTCACAGTGACTGGGGGCAGGAGTGCTGATGTTTGTCCCCTGTTCCAGCTAGGAAGCGATCCTTGGTGGAGGTACCCAGCCAGGCTACATAACCTTATACAGGATGATTAAAGTATAGCTAAGGTGATATTTTTGTGCCATCCAAATTAAGGCACATTGGTGAGTCATCCAAATTCTGTAACTTTGCAGATGTTTCTTCACACTGGTATTAGTGAGATGTACCTTCAATCGTCCCCTACTCACTTTCTTGCAACACAATTTGTCACACAATTTGAACTTTGTAAGTTGGCCTTCTTGGAGGCACTCAAACTGATCCCAAAGTGTGCTTCATGTGTATAATACACTAGCTCCCACCCTTTGCCTTGAGTCGACTGGAAATGCATGTGGACTTTCATTAGTGGCAGTGGAAGCTGTCACAACACTAGGCTATACACTAGCAGTGTGTTGATTAATGCTAATGGAGAGACTGATGATGTCAGTACAGGTGAGGTTGATGGTACATATACATATATTCATTGTACTATATACACTTTGAAAGGTATCTTGTGGCAGAAAAAATAATAGAGATACATGAGAAGAAAACATAGTGATACTATGTATACATAGAATCTTATGATTATGAAACCAAAAGACTTGAAAACAGTAATACAAATATGACCATGGTTTAACTAAAAAGTACGAGAAAATACAGTGGAGTAAATCCCTAGAGAAAAGGTAAAAAAAGGAAAAAAATCATACCAGTAGGTATGAAATATAAGTCTAAGGACATAAGTAAATATAAATACTCAATATGCATGAAACTACCAGAGTTATCAAAAAAAATTATAATTAAATAAACATTGGTAACGTATTCAAATGTTTCATGTGTGTTTAGGAAAGAGTTGGATGAAACATATTCATTAAGGCCCTTCAGGTGCATTGAGTCCAGTGTTTTGATCCAATACGTTTCCCGTTGGAGCAGAAATTTAGATCTGTCCCCCTAGATTTTCTTTGGTTCCTATGTTGACGCAGTGGCAGAAGTATGGAATAATGATGCTGGCAGAATTAGTCTATAATCGACCATTCTTCTAATGCCTCTTCTTTTGTACACTACTCTACACTAAAATACTTACTAAGATTTTCCATCTATTTCTGATCCTCATTTACTTTATGCCTGAGTTTATGGTTTGCTTTATTTCTGCATATTTATCACACAATATACTGTAACTGTCTTTGGGCCTAGAATGGATGGGGGGTACTAAGGAGGCCAATATTCCTTTTTAGATACCATCATTGTAGTATACTATGAATTTTGTCATTTTTTGTCATTTGTTAAAATGGAAAGTATTGTTTGTTTTTTTTCTCTAGAAATTTCAATGTCTTAATAAATTGCTTTTGACAAAACAGTTATGAAAAACAACTCGGATATAATTATGATATTATATAACATTACATAGTCATTTGTAATTATCAAGCCTCCAGTTGAGAAACTAATGAATATACATTTTATTGTGACAGATTATTTTGATATTATTTAAAATATTTTTGCATCAGCTAAAGTCTTGCTCTCTTTTTTCCCTCCCTCTCTTTGCTCTATAACTTTACATTATTTCCTGTGTATATCTGTACTTTCTATCATTCTATTCCCATATGTATTAATTTAATATTCTAATTTAATAATTCTCATGGTTTTATTACTTTCCTTGCTTTCCTTATAACACATACAATATTCCTTCTCTATATCTGCATCCACATTACTTTTTGTTTGAACATGTTCTCTGCATTGTTTTTCGTTTCATCATTTTCATTCCTCCACTTTTTGTCTAATTCCGAATTAATCTTGCATGCACTCTTCCTCTGTTTTGTGTCCTCTATTTGTGTTATATTTATCTTGTTCCATTTCTGCTCTTGGTCTGGTTAATGCATGTGCTCTTATTCGCTATCTGTCTTGTGGCTGTACTTTATTTTGTTATGCTCTTTTTCGGTTTAATGCATTCTATCTCATGGACACATTTTATTTTTTTATACTACTCTGCTTTGTTTCATGTCTCTCTTTTTCAATTAAGAATTCTTTTATATGTTCTCTCTTACATCATAAAAAACACTGTTGCTTTTTAACATACTTCCTCTTGTACAATTTGTACCATGTTCTCTATTTTGCTGTAATTCACACAATCTGTTTCTTATGATATCGTTTTTTGTTTTTTTTTATGCACTCTCTCCTTTCTGTAATTATCTCTCTCTATCTTTCACTTCCACCTTTTTTTTTTTGCACCTGCATCTAGATTACTGGCAGAGTAAGAATATGTAACAATGGGTAAATTATATTTATTCGTTGACTATGGTGTTTTTAATAAATAGCATACATTATATACAGTATATCATGCCCACTACACGTGGACAAATTTGTTTTTCTTCTGGAACCTTATTTTCAATACAAAAATTACGCTAAATATTTAAAAGCAGTTATTATAACTATGCATCCTTTACATATTAAATGTCAGAAGCCTATATCCAATTTAGAGGCTCTGTTTCATCTACTCTGCTAAATCTAAAAGTAGAGCATTATGACATTGCTTTGAAACACTCATGTGATATTTAATTTTTTTTTACATTTTATAATGGTTTATATTCTGTAAACTATACCAAATATATTATATTTGAGATCTAGTTAAAGGACCACTATAGTCACCCAGACCACTTCAGCTCAATGAAATGGTTTGGGTTCCAGGTCCCCCAGGTTTTAACCCTGCAACTGTAAACATAGCAGACATTGAGCATGCAGAACGTGCATAGGAAAGCATTGAGTAATGCTCCACTCGGGAGCTGACGTCAGAAGGGGAGGAGAGGCAACCAGCACCATGGGAGCCCGGCGCTGGATTAAGGTAAGTGGCTGAGGGGGCCCCTTCAGCCCAGCGGGAGGGGGGCCCTGAGGGTGGGGGGGACCTAAGGTCCTGTTGGGGGCCGGGAGCAAGCTGTTACTTACCTTTATAGTGCAAATTAAAACGAGTTTGTTTTCCTGGCAGTATAGTGGTCCTTTACTTTAACAAGTTGAACAGGCTGTTCTGCTCTTTCAGTATTTTATTTAGTTGGAGTGACGTCTTTAAAAGGACAGTTTTGCTCCTACTGCCATTATAATTATTTTATCTCACCTTTATATCATAATGTATATTTTAACTTACTGTATAATCATAACTTTTAGACTATTGTTTATACTTATTCCGAATATATGAGTACCTGTTGTTTTAAATGGTGGTTGTTTTCCAGTATTCCATCAACAAGACATTGTTAACACTAAAAAGGCCATAAAAATAATATATTTAGTATAACAGTGTATCATACAGTATAATGGCACCATTCAATATGTTGCAATTTATTGTGCCATTATATTGATATATTGCTACTGATACATTTTTACACTTAGTGTATTGTTTTTATTCTCTTTTTCTTCATTATATTTCTAAAAAGAGAAAAAAAACTAAATGTGTTTGAATACAGAACCTTTAATTTTGTTTGGATTGTTATTTTATGTCTATATATTTGTCTGTTAATGGTATACTCTGTAACATGATTAAGGCACTTATGCCAAAATGTTGTATAGTTTATGTGGCTACTCCCATTATGTAAATAAAGGAGTTTTTGTGGGCACTATAACATCTTTAGCCTAGTTCTTGTCTTATTTTTAGTACACAGAGGTTCATCATTGATTTATTCATTCAAAATTAGACCTAAAAAATTATCCACCTCAAAATATTGATAGTATTAAACGTTAAGCAATGATACATGGTTTTCTGTATTTGATTTCTTCAATTGCCTGCTTGTTTCATTTTGCAGAGCTTCATAATTAAAAAAGCTATAATGAAGCACATATTATACTACTAAATAGTTCCCTTGAGGGCTCAAGGATGAATTATGGAAAATTCTGTAGAACAATGCACATATTAAGCTAGATCTATGATGAGTAGGGATCAGCAAATCTTACAAAACCTTAAAACCATATTAATATATTTTTAATATAAAAGTCAATTTGTGTACATTTGCATGCTCAGGGATTTTTCAAATAAATAAATAAATAGTTACTGAAAGTGTGAACCGAAAAATAACCAAAAAAAATATTAAAAAGTAATCTATAGGACAAATTTTAGAGAAAGTTCCATAAAGAGAGAGAGACAGAGAGAGTGATAGATACATATATACATACATCTTATTTCTAAAACCTCTTACTGTCAAGTGAGTGATGTAATTTTGAGACAGACAGTGTGTAATAAGAGGAGCCCAAATCTAAGAGAAGCACTGGGATATGAATCGAATTTCAGTCAATGACATAAGTGTTCCATAATACACGCTTCACTGTTGTTTATTTGTACTATTTATATTCATGTTTAAGCTACAAAGAGAATATAAACTGTATTTTTCTTGGAAAATACTTTAGGAAAAAAAATAACTTAAAACAATCTTCACAGTGAAATGAGCACAAGGCAAGAGATTCTAACAATCTTCTTTTAGAGCAAGATATTTCTATTCTTTGCTTATTGAAGCTCACCTGATATCATTTAAGAATTTATAACTAAAACTGTTTTTATATTATAATAATGAAAGGGGTTAAAACTTTTTTAATGCTCTAGGAATTGTACATCCGAAAAATGGTTTATAAATATCCAACTGAAATGGTAGATAATGTAAAATCCTGCATTGCTAATGAGAACTATGATAAATGTGTGAATGTTCTAGAAGACTGTATTTACTTTTATTTGACTTGAAGGTTATCCTTGTCTCATTTTCAAGATACAGCTGTATGCAATACACTGGTGCATTACATACCTTTAAAATATTTAACCTGGTATGGCAATGCAGTTACAATACAAGTAAAATAAATTACACCCAATCAAATTATAATTTTTTTCTTGTTTATAGTTGTATATAGTTACCTTTTTTTTGGAAAAAAAATTTTTGCTGAAAAAGCCCCACTCGGGTTATACTCGAGTCAGTGTCTGTATTATGGCAGCTTACATTGCCATAATACAGACCAGGACCGCCGTGCTCATTACAAGCCCGGCGGTCCTGTTGAGGGCCGGGAGCAAGCTGTTACTTACCTTTACAGCAGCTCCGGTCACCTCCGTTCAGCTCCCCCGTTCAGCTCACAGTGTAAATCTCGCGAGACCCGTGGCCGTCAGGGCGTTTCCACGGGTTACCATGGCAACACTCCGCGCAGCATGCAGACCGCGAGACTTACACTGTGAGCTGAACGGGGGAGCTGAACGGAGGTGACCGGAGCTGCTGTAAAGGTAAGTAGCAGCTTTCTCTCGGCCCCCCACTGAACAGCCAATGCCAGTGGACCACCAGGGATTTACATAGCCCCCCTCCCTGGCCAAGTAACAAACAGGGAGGGGGGGCTAAAAAAATGAAATATTAAAATAATAAATTAAACACTCCGGCACCTGCCAGGAGCTTGGTGACCACACAGAGACGGGTAATTCCCCTCCCCTCCCCCCACTTCCCCCACCGGAGTACTACCGGCATTGACAGCCACAAGTCCACTCTTGACTTGACGGGGGAACACTAACCTTCACGACCCCCCCACCACCAAGGGACGGGACCATACCCGCCAACCTGCTCACTCCCACAGCACGGTAACCTAACAAGCAAGCTTGTTACAGGGGACAGTGCCCTACCTTTAGAGGAAACAGGTTGAGTTCACCACGGGATCTAGGAACACGATCCAGAACACTACATATCTACTTGGGGTAGCTCCATCTCCACAACCTTCTCTCTCCTATCCATAGCACCCACCGGGCCGCCCACTCCAGTAACTCACTACATATTTACGTTAATTTTCTAACTCCTTTTCAGTTGACTATCCATGCAGTTAGTTTTGTATTAAGTCTACTTCGAACACTCATATGCCAGTGTGCATTGATTGATACGGTGGTCACGACACATACATAGGCCAACAGGCTTTATCCACAGTTGCTTTCTGCCCACAACAATATGAGTTGCATAGTCCAGACAAGAAGTTAATGATTAACTGTTTAACTCTACACACACACTCTGCATCATATACACACACTGCATCCATACAAACACACCCTCTGGATTATATACACACACTGCATTCACACAAACACACACACACACTCTGCATTCATTATATACACACACCACACACACACACACACACACACACACACTGCATTCATTATATACACACACTACACAAACACACACATTCTGCATTCATTATATACACACACTGTAAATAAATATTCAATTAATGTAATTTTATTGGGATCTAATTTTATTTAGAGATTTACCAGTAGCTGCTGCATTTCCCACCCTAGGCTTATACTCGAGTCAATAAGTTTTCCCAGTTTTTTGTGGTAAAATTAGGTCCCTCGGCTTATATTCAATAAGTTTTCCCAGTTTTTTGTGGTAAAATTAGGTCCCTCGGCTTATATACTCGAGTATATACGGGTAATTCAAGAACTTTTTTCTGGTATATATTTTAAGTCCCATACAACACAGTTAATGACAAAGACTATACATTAAAACTAGACTGCACAGAATACAGAAATTGGTTAGTTTGCATGGATAAGAAAAAAACAAAAACAAAAAAGAATTCAGATTCAGGAGATTTAGGATGTGGCGTTTTAGTTTAGACACATTTAACCATGTAATTGTTTCAGGAAAAATGATTTGGAAGAAACAAAATGACATGAAAATTGGCCAATCAATTTACTGCAGACTATAAATATTATGCACATATTTTGCAGTATACTGATAGGAGCATTTTTTTTTGTTTGAATAATTTGCAAAGAACTTTAAAAAACAATAATAAAAATTTGATATTTAATTCTTATCATCTAGGTATATATCACACCAGCCGAAGTATATAGATATACAGGGAGTGCAGAATTATTAGGCAAATTAGTATTTTGACCACATCATCCTCTTTATGCATGTTGTCTTACTCCAAGCTGTATAGGCTCGAAAGCCTACTACCAATTAAGCATATTAGGTGATGTGCATCTCTGTAATGAGAAGGGGTGTGGTCTAATGACATCAACACCCTATATCAGGTGTGCATAATTATTAGGCAACTTCCTTTCCTTTGGCAAAATGGGTCAAAAGAAGGACTTGACAGGCTCAGAAAAGTCAAAAATAGTGAGATATCTTGCAGAGGGATGCAGCACTCTTAAAATTGCAAAGCTTCTGAAGCGTGATCATCGAACAATCAAGCGTTTCATTCAAAATAGTCAACAGGGTCGCAAGAAGCGTGTGGAAAAACCAAGGCGCAAAATAACTGCCCATGAACTGAGAAAAGTCAAGCGTGCAGCTGCCACGATGCCACTTGCCACCAGTTTGGCCATATTTCAGAGCTGCAACATCACTGAGTGCCCAAAAGCACAAGGTGTGCAATACTCAGAGACATGGCCGAAGTAAGAAAGGCTGAAAGACGACCACCACTGAACAAGACACACAAGCTGAAACGTCAAGACTGGGCCAAGAAATATCTCAAGACTGATTTTTCTAAGGTTTTATGGACTGATGAAATGAGAGTGAGTCTTGATGGGCCAGATGGATGGGCCCGTGGCTGGATTGGTAAAGGGCAGAGAGCTCCAGTCCCACTCAGACGCCAGCAAGGTGGAGGTGGAGTACTGGTTTGGGCTGGTATCATCAAAGATGAGCTTGTGGGGCCTTTTCGGGTTGAGGATGGAGTCAAGCTCAACTCCCAGTCTTACTGCCAGTTCCTGGAAGACACCTTCTTCAAGCAGTGGTACAGGAAGAAGTCTGCATCCTTCAAGAAAAACATAAATTTTCATGCAGGACAATGCTCCATCACACGCGTCCAAGTACTCCACAGCGTGGTTGGCAAGAAAGGGTATAAAAGAAGAAAATCTAATGACATGGCCTCTTTGTTCACCTGATCTGAACCCCATTGAGAACCTGTGGTCCATCATCAAATGTGAGATTTACAAGGAGGGAAAACAGTACACCTCTCTGAACAGTGTCTGGGAGGCTGTGGTTGCTGCTGCACGCAATGTTGATGGTGAACAGATCAAAACACTGACAGAATCCATGGATGGCAGGCTTTTGAGTGTCCTTGCAAAGAAAGGTGGCTATATTGGTCACTGATTTGTTTTTGTTTTGTTTTTGAATGTCAGAAATGTATATTTGTGAATGTTGAGATGTTATATTGGTTTCACTGGTAATAATAAATAATTGAAATGGGTATATATTTGTTTTTTGTTAAGTTGCCTAATAATTATGCACAGTAATAGTCACCTGCACACAGAGATATCCCCTAACATAGCTAAAACTAAAAACAAACTAAAAACTACTTCCAAAAATATTCAGCTTTGATATTAATGAGTTTTTTGGGTTCATTGAGAACATGGTTGTTGTTCAATAATAAAATTAATCCTCAAAAATACAACTTGCCTAATAATTCTGCACTCCCTGTAGATAGTATATAAATGAATAGCGGAGATATAAATGAT